TCCAAAACATGGACCTGCTGAGACTATTTCTTCCTTTTGTTTTGCCCGGCAGCAGAGTGAGACGTTCAACTCATGCTAAGATATTGAACAGATTTGTTTTTGTTGTAATTTATTATTAAATATATTGTAGTGTAGTCATCATATTTCCAGCTTCTCTTTGCTGCATTTCAAATCCAAAGTCAATCCATCTGATCTTTGATGTCAAATCTACTTAAAAACGGTCGATGAATTGACTAGTTTAGTGTCTTTTGTTGTTGTGAAACATGAAAAATAAGAAATCTAAAATGTAATTAAAGAAAGAACGTTTCAATCCAGCAAATATGCTGGAATAGAGATAATTTTCTTTATTTATTTAAGGAAGAAAGGGCCTGTTTCAGATACAGTTACAGTTTATTATCTAATGAGTTAGATACTTTATGGGGATAGTCTTCTGCTAATCAACCATTTATTCTTCATTCCACTTTAAATTATTGACTGGACCTGAATTATTACCATCTGAGTTAATATGCCAGAATGCCTTTCTTTCTTCAGATGGTTCAAATTAATCAGACTAATACTACTTTCCCAAATTAAAGTCTACTTTAGGTTTCTGTTCCACTCTAACGATGTGTTCGAGGATTGACGTGATATGTTACAATTTTTTTATTTACAAGGAAAGAGAAGTGACAGTTTTTTAAATGTCTGTTCCTATTTGATAGTTGAAATCAACAGATAGTTTGTAGGCTTTAATAAAAATGTAAAAGTAGTGAGAAAGCTTTGGTGAGATCACATTCTCAATATCAGATTATCATTTACGTGACAAATTTTTTAAAAATAATTCCTAAAATGCTGTGTTTCACCTTCATTTTCAAACACATTTCAAAACATCTGTCCTCGCTTATTTACTTAACAAACAGGACTAATAGAATGAAGTTGGATAAATTGAGTTTTGACAATACTATCCATGGAAAACAGAGTGTGGTGCCTGTTTTTTTAAATGTTCCTCTTCAGAGACACATGTTAGACCTGGTGAGAATAAACACAGCTGAGGAAACAGAGAAGGGAACGTCTATTTCAGCTCCTGGAGATCATGTGCTTCTGATTGGGGGATTTTTAGAGAAGGTTCTCCTGTTTTTCCTGCTGCTGTGCAGGCAGGCACCAAATGTGTGAACTTGATAAACTGCAGTTGCAGAAATGTTGTCAGAATTCTTAACGTTTCCGCATAAATCTTAAATCTGTAGACAAATATGTGAATACAATATAAGTTATATTGTCATTAACTTATAATAATCCAACAATCCAATGTCAAACATCAGCATAGGAGCTAAATAGTGTGGTAGAGGCTTGTTTTTTTAATATAACTGGGCAGATGTTCTGGTTTATTTAGAGGAAATTCGATATTTTAAAGCCTAAATCTTGTCACAAACTGAGTCCAGTTGTTAAAATATCTCACCGGCGAGCATGGAAGCTTATAAAAGTTTATTTACATAGAAGGAAACACTAAATTCATGTGTAACAACTGTGTCCCATCTATAACACAGGTAAATATCGGGTGGTAGTGTCATGGTCTGGGCCTCCTTTGCTTCATTTAGATGATGTTTTCAGTGCACTGGGAACTAAAATAATATTTTTTATTATCTATCTATCTATCTATCTATCTATCTATCTATCTATCTATCTAT